TTTTAAGATTAAAGCCTTGTTCTAGCCATTTTAGGAGTAACGAAAAAGTGAAAATGACACTTCACAGCTTGACAGTTGACGTTATTAGTTTTACTATAATGCAACATTTTAAAAACCGTTCGCGGTATGTAAAGTAATATATTTGCCTTAGTTATAACGTTTTGGAGTGCCAAATGGCCAAAAAGAAGGCAGCGGCCCAAACCCGTTTTTTAAAGGTTTTGTTCCATTAGATCTCTATACTGTCACAGATCTACAAATAACGTTGGTTTATTTAATTTTTTTTTTTGGTTAACAAAATCCACAGCTCTTAATATATTACATGACTTACATATAGCGTAGCTTACGTCTAGTTATGGATTTTTAATCATTAGCATGAAACGATGGACACAAAGTAAGTAGTACATCATAATAACCAATTTTTCAAGTGACAGTGCCTTAAGGCGTATATACACTATGTATTTGGAAATAATAAAAATAAATCTTATATTCAATTCCTTTAAACCCATTAACTTCTCGCCTAAAACCTGATTGTTGAGTTCGAGGTGTGATTGTTTGCAATAACGCCCGAAGCAAATGTGAAGCGCCTAGTCAAACCGTTAAAAAGTTTTTAAGGGCGCAAAGCTGAATATGTATAATTTGCATATTATATTAAATAATAAATTAATAAAAAAAACCATAATAGCGTCGCTCATGTAAAAAAATCTTCATTAGGCGTCCTATAAAGCCGGCTTTATAGGACGCCTTTATCAAAAAGCCTAACTATATCCAGATATAGTAAGGCTTTTTGATTGCATATCCGGCCAAAATAAACGGTTCCCAATTTGTTGAATCGATTATTAATTTCGAAAGTTAAGAAAAGATTTAATTTATATTTAGTAAATTTTTGGAAAAACTTGTTTTTTTACAGTTATATTATCATATTTTATATTAAGACACAAAATCCTCGACAATGTAGGGTGCCCAACCTTTTTATCCAATAAGCCCGACATTAGCGATCTGGTGAACTTACATATACCGGTGTTAGTAGTACTGTGTGACGTCACATAGATCAGCCTAAAGCGTCGTCAATTATCACGTCAGCGGCTTCGCGAGCTGCGGACGCAATGTCACGCGAGCCGTGGCGTAACGGTGCGTTCCGCGACCTGACGCCCCAGCCCGGCCATACACGGCAGCGTTTACCTTCAGACCAATTGCCCTTATGGCCTAGACCAGGGATGGTGAACTTTTATGCATCGACGTACTATTATATATTTATAAATATATAGACGTAAATATTTATTATATAACGAATTGTTTAATGAGGTCATAGAGGTGCCATCAAATAATTTTGACTTTGACATATTATATTTTTAAATAAATTTTCTTGTTACGTAGAAATAAGACTGAGTCAATTTGCTTGCTCGCGAGTGTATAAGTTTTTAGTTACAAGTAGTTAACGTTCTTGTATTATGGAAGTGATACAAGACAAATTCTGTTATACCCAGATCCAAGACAATAAAAAAGTTCATTTAACATCGTACGGACTCAACCAGTAGTCAAACTTGGGACTTCAGAAATGAAAACTAGATAATCGGCCAGGGAGATAATATTGTTTGGTTCCATGTCTCAAATCTGCTACTGCTGAGCACAGGACTTCGTAGAAAGAATCGTTCCGAATCGAATGGGGGAATGGGTCATGACCCATTCGGGCCCAATGCGTATAGATGGATGTTAAAGACTGCAGATACAGCCGGGACCAATGGCTTAACGAATCACGGAGTAGCTTGAGATAATAAAAAATAATTAAAATTCGGTTACCCATCCTATTACTGGCCGTTACGAAAGTTGCTTAACTTCCACATCGCAGATAGACATCGAGCTCTTTTAAATGATGTACCTAATGTGCATTAACTGGAGCTCGACGATCGGTCGTGTTCATATCGTGTCGGAACTGCCCCGGCCTCGGCGCTTCCTGACTGTACACCTCATTACCGTTTCCTCCCGAGTATTCCGCCGTGGTCAAGGACAGTGATTACAGTCGCCCAATAAAATAATTATTCCGCATAAACTAAAAATATATCACTCTTGTTACACGTTTCTTAGGTCAGCCATCTTTAATTGGGATGAGACCAATTTTCGTATGTCAATTTTAAGGTGGAATAATGAAGAATTAAACACGTATTTTTTTTATACCTAATCAATAAAATACGGCGATACATCTAATTGAAATGTCACACGATGTCACACCATTGTACATTTTCTACATAGTTGTATAGCGAGCGCCTACTCCTCAAAAAAATACGAATCTGATATTATTACACTAGCTTTCCGCCAGCGGCTTTGCCCGCGTGGTCTCGTATTATACATAAGAACCTTCCTTTTGAATCACCTATTTATGAAAAAAACCGCATCAAAATCGTGCAGTTTTAAAGATTTAAGCATAAATAGGCATATAGGGACAGAGAAAGCGCCTTTGTTTTATACTATGTAGTGATTACTTAACTGTCGGACTAAATATATTTTTTTTTACCCAGGCATATGTGGGGGAAACTATAATTAATATATGTCGTGCAGTCTGTTTGTCAACACTTCGTCTTTGAAAAATCTCACATAATTATTTTAATAATAAATAATAATAAAACAATTTTCTTCTTTTTAATAAATTTCCTTTTTACTTGTAATTTAGTTAATTTAATACGTCATTACAGTTAATGTTGATGCAGTAAAAAATGGTACAGTTATATATTTTTCCTATTATAAATCTTTTTCTTTGTAAAATTTGTTTTTTTTTTACTTCTTAGTTAACTAAGCCGCCATCGAGTTTGACTCATTATTATTCACTGAAAATCTCGTAATTGGTGATCTCATCTACTGATAAACCATATTTTACTTTCTACAAATCCAAAAGGCCATTATAAAATGTCATCAACACTTCATTTTCACTATAACTGTCAAGAAATTATGTTAATTAGTACAGATAATTGTTAAAATATGTGCCAGTCGGTTTACGTGCGGAAAAAATCGAGCAAACGTGAGCGTGTAACTACAGTTAAGTAATAGTCTGTGGGCCAATAGTATGATTTAAATATCTGTCGCAAACCCTTTTAAAGGTGTAGTGATTGTGAAGGCGATTTATGGAATCATAAGACTCGACAAACACAATAAAGACTCTGTTAAAAGACTGCAGGATTCAAATATTTCGTTTGATATTTGCGTTTATCGCTTGCTTTAGAGAATAACGTTGGAATAACAAAATTTGTTCATTCAATATCTTTATAAAAAGTCAAGTTTGCAATCGCTATCGCGTATCAAATAGTTGTAGCGTGAAGTTCGAGTTGTCAAATTGGAAGGGACTGCGATAAATTTTAAAATTAGACAATCCGGCCCATTGTCGTTGTTTGGCGCTAATTGTTCAATGGACTGTGTGACGTCACGTCAGGCCGGCGAAATGGTGGCATCTCAGTTCGAAGTTTCTTGGAAATATTGGATAGATTAATTACTTTACGATTGGATGCGTGCGAAATGAGAAATATTGCGGTTATTCTAAGAAATGTTTTGAAAGTTAATAGACTAAGGAAGAGCTCTATGGTATACGCCAGTCAGTACCCAGTGCCAAACCAAGACCTTCGCAACAATTTCTAAAACGTGCTGAGTCGCCGCGTTCCACCAGTGTGTGGTCTGAGTATTTTCTTTTAACTTATAACAATTTAGTAATTTATTAAATTAGCCATAAATATTTTAGTCGAAACCTTTCACGATGTTTTAATTATTTTGACACTCTTGGAATGTTCATTCTGTGGACCTACTTAAAAATATCTCGCCGCCATTTTGTTTTTTGGCTGAACAGCAATGCCATTTCAACTCATAAAAAAAATATATTGTCACTCTCCATACATGAAAACGTCATTTACCAACTCCTTCTACCCGAAAAAAGCATGGAGTGAGTGAGTGAGTCAGTGAGTGGTAATTAAGCTTTATATATTATAGATAATATCCATCAGAATAACAACGTTATTACAAAAACTTTATAAATTACTTTCGATTATCATAAGTAAATAGAGATATTGGGTATTAATTGTTAATCTTAGGCTCTATTTGGAAAACTGATTTTATCCACCATCCGACACCACTTCTCCCAACCCTGCGCTAATTCTAACTGGTGCTTAAACCTTAAAGATATCTTTAAATATGCCCATGTTTATTATTTTTTTCTAAATAATTTTCCTCACAGAATGGCCGATTTACCTCCTGGTCTAAACCTGGTCTAATATCATTAACTTAGGAATAACCGAACTAAGGAGTATAGTGCGGTCTCCAAACAGAAATAATTTTGAACAATAATCTGGTATTACATATCTCTTTCTCTTGTACGTAATATGTTTGCGCATGTGTAAAAGAGATATGTAGCGCCTATGTAGATATGTATGCGTTCGCACAGATGCATCTAGCCAATTGTGTCATAGCAAAGTGAAACTAAAATGTTTACAATATCTATCAGTAAACACAAAGTTTAATGTAAGAAATTCTTCCTGTTCGGCGATTCTTCCTTTAAAATCGAAAATTTTGTTCCAATAACGTAAAAGAAAGTGTACAAGTATTTAAAAAAAAAATAGATATAGCAGTGCATCAGCTGCATTTATATTTGAACTTGATTATTAATGGCATGGAAATACTTATATTATATCGTTATAATTAGTAGAATCAATTATTTTAATCTTTGTTTGGGCTGCGTTGATGTAGCAGGGGATAAATGAATTTATTTGTTCCGAATCGTAGCACGTAGTCGGCGTACGGTCATATAAAAGACATAAACGAGTGGCGGAACATTATTGTACAAACATGTGAGAATTATGTTCCGCATTATTTGTTATTTTGTAAATAGTTTTAGTATATCCATAATGTCAGTGTTTAAAAGTCATCAATAATATTGTAAAAGGAAACCAAATTAACTGAAGATTCCTGTTTCTTGCTTAAGCTTTGACAATTATCAAGAGATCAGTTACAATACCTAATTGCCAGTTATGGTAAGTCCCTGGATGTTGGTAACGGTTTCTATCGATCACGAATCGATTATAACTGAGCCAACGATTCAGTATCGATTAATTGCTCTCCACTCACGGAACTTTAATAGTACAGTATTGAATGTAACTGGTATTTGGTAACGCAACTTATGTCACAAAAGTTTTCAGCTGTTGGTTAAAACGTAGTCGTTGAGCTTTGGGTTCCAAATTAGAATTGGAATAGATATCCTATTAAATATTTCCATGCCACAATTTTACGATATCTATAATGCCTAATAATGTAATTCGATGCGTGTTTCTCATTACGCCTGACGTGTCACCATTCTTTAAAACTTTAAATGTCAGAATAAATTTGACTATTTAAGTACGTTTGCTGATACCGAAGCCTTCGTTAGTAGTGGAAATTACCTGAATATTGAATTTGTATATTCCATATATTTAATACTATTCCATATATTGAAATTCCTTTTTGAATTATTCCTAACAGCGGAAACTTTGTAAATTGTCAATAAGTCTAGGGAACGAAGTCGCTTGGCTTATTTCGAAGTGTATTAAATTTCTATGAAGAATAATTTAGAAAGTAGTTTTAGTATGAAAATGAAAAACTCGATTATGAGAAGACTTTTGAATCGTTTACAACATTTTTTTCACTATCACTTCGTTCAGGACATCTTTTGTCTGACAAGAAGGACTAGCGAAAGAAACTTACCAGCACTTTACCAGACACAAAGACTCAATAGTTCCCTCTATTTGCTTATAAACATCGGTTTACCTGTTACCCTTTTAGCCGGGAACTTGAGCGGATGCCTATTTTTAAATTCTTAATTTACTAATTAGAAACGGAGCACGACTTTTCTGCTGATTAACTGACAATAATTTGTTATGTTTTTTGTCTCTGTATTTATCGTTTTCTCAAATAAAGGATAAAGGTGACGGTTGGACAACACCGACGGGATCATTGACCGTTCGCGTTAATCATTGAAATCATATCCGAATCGAAGGTACGGATCAAAATTTAGAATTGGAATCTGAATGAAATGGAGGAATTGTTTTTGTATTATTGTACCGGATTTTGTGTTCGTGCTAATAGTTCATATTCAAATTTTTTTTATTGCCACTAGCTGTTTTCTCGTGACTTCACCCATAAATTATAACCTACATCATCCGCGTATAATGTAGCTGACACATTTTTATTATATTTTTAAGTGACATTGATTCAGAAAGTGAAAAAGTAAAAAGGATATAGTGTTTTGATATATCTATGAAAAGAAGATAATAAAAGAGACATCCGGAAACCGATATATGCCACCTTAGGTACAGAGGTTGTCAAAATAAAAGGTTTTCCCAAGTTTCTTGCTACTTCTTGTAGCACACGGATATAGAACTTAGGTGGAAAGCAAGAAGTTTATTATTAAATAAATACATTTAATTCACTCTAGTATTTCTTTAGATAATAAAATTATTGAACGATAAGTTCAATAGCGTTAAAATTACATAATACAGACCACTGATTGGGGCGTGAAACAACAATTTTATGGCTACAGAGCAATGTAATTGGTATAGATATTGATTCCTGTTCCCCTGGTATGTCATTCCTCGGGGCCTGTCATTACCGTGTCTTTTGACCCGAGATTACGAAACAGAAGCTGGTATTACATCAAGAACAATAAGACTGTAATTCTTCTATCACGATTTCGTATGGATTTAGCAAAGTTCATATTACTTGGGGTCATCATTTGAATGTATCACGATCGGTATTGTTTATGTGGTATTAGATTGGTTTGCGACTGTAATTTTCTTTATAAGTCGTTTATTATTGAACGGAAATTGTTGGTTGTTTGTGAGAATCTTTTTTCACGACTAAAAACCAGCATGAACAGTGATCCCAACATTTTAAATTATGAAACAATTTATCTTTAACTAGATAACATTTTTTAATATAATTTTATTAAATGCATTGTTTTTGTTTTAGGTTTATCATCATATGCATTTGGCTACTGTTAATGAAAGTAAGTATCCAAATGTTAAATTTTATTGGTACAATAAATATCGTCATTACCAGCCTATTAATGTCATCATTGCTGGGGCTCAGGCTTTCATTGTAGAAGAAAGCCTGAGCGTCAAATCGAATATGGAGAATAGGCCATGACTTACTACGCAGACCTAGTGTGGATTGGTGGGTGTTGACAACTGCAGATGCAGCCGGGATCATGGGCTTAAAGTGCCTTCCTACGATTTTTACTAACCGGGACAGGAACTGCGTATGACACCCTTCCTCTACCCCCTCCTGCGTTCCATGAGGCCGGATTTTATTTAAGTATATTTTTACAATGTACTATTTTTTTATTACATACACTCGGTGGCGTAGTGTATAAGCGCCGCGGCCCGCGATTGTTGTCGTTAAGCAACTTTCGCAAGGGTCGGTCACGGGATGGGTGACCAAAAATATTATCTCGAGCTACTCCGTGCTTCGGAAGGCACGTTAAGCCGTTGGTCCCGGCTGCATTTGCAATCGTTAATACTCTCCAATCCGCATTGAGCCAGCGTGGAGGGTCATGGCCCATCCTCCTTAACCATCCATAAGGAAGGCCTGAGCCCCTGCAGTGGAGACGTAAAAGGGCTGATGATGATTTTTTTAATATTTCAATTACCCGTAGCCTATAATGTGTATGAAAGAAATTATGGAGCTCGTTCTTTATTTTTTACTGTAAATAGGTATTATATGAACACGAGTGCCCAAGGTGAGTGCCCGCACTTAGATCTGGGCCTGCCTTCCGAAGTTAAAGATACTCGAGATAATAATTTTTGATTCTTATATTTTAAATTAATTTTGCATTCACAATGCCATGCTGAAAATTATTCCCATCTCAGGGTGCCAGGGACCAAGTGGATTTTTGAAGCATTTTATATTAAGAATAATTTTCAGTATGGGAATACGCTCTGTAGTAGCGAAAAGTAACAAGTGCTTGAAAGATTCTTCAGTCCTGTTAGGTCCTGGGTAGCTCAGTGGTTAGAGCAGTCGTCCGGATTGCGAAAGGTCGTGGGTTCGATTCCCATCTCAGGGTGCCAGGGACCATGTGTATTTTTTAAGCATTTTGTATTACGAATAATTTCGAAAAATTTTAAATTTAAAATTTTAATCGAAAAACCTATGACGAGCGTAAGTCACAGACACACCAAGCGAAGCGACGACTAAACTACTTTTAAAAGCTGATACGTTTCGGGCTTATTTAACGAGTCCAAAGACGTCCTAAATAAAAATTGTATTTGGATTTGACTGTACTAAATTGTCAACAGCGTGTATCAACGGCAGAGAAGCGTCCGGTAGAATTGATGACGTCAGCGGAGTCATCGGAAACCTCCACGGAGGTGACGGTCGTATCAGTATCGAGCTCATTATCCTCATCATCTGAATTAGACGAGGGATCTGGTGACGATCCACCAGACCCATCTTCAACCAGTAGTTTTGGCCATATTAAGGTAACTTGAATTTATATATTTTCGTTAAAATAATCTGAAAACGACTTTTAGAGAAAACTACTATTCAAAAGCTATATATAAATTGCTTGAGAAGAAATTCTCAAAAAATTTAAGAGTTCTTAAATTATTGAATGGTTTTAGAAAAGTGGTTTTCTAACCACAAAACCTCACATAGTTTCGTAAGTAGTAACTGATTTTAACAATGGCGGAGGTTTTATTATAAGTTTGTATGTTCCGCTATATCATTGGCGCGTGTGGTGGATTCTGAATATTATTTTTTACTGTTTTAAAGGGCAGTTTGATTTTTGGTGCTAGATGAAATTCAGTGATAACTTCATTAAAGGGGCCGTCCATTAATCACATGAGGCTCAATCGGTGGAAGGGGGTTTGTCGAAAATCTACTAACTGAAATTGTAGGTACTAAAAATACATACACGTGATTTGGGTAGAGTGCGGGGTAGTCATAAACTTGACCATATATCACCAAAGGCTTAAAGTTGGCTAAAAATACTGAAAAAACGACACGTGATTAATGGACAGCCTCAAAGTACTAAATCTAGTACCGAAAGTACCATATTCGCAACTGTGAATACAAAGGAAAACTAAAAGAATTGGATGAATTGATTTACGAGTACAGTATACTTTGGATACTTCTAATACTCCTCATGCTCTAGTAGAGTTTCCGAGAGTTTATCTCATTATGTCCTTGGGCATAATGAGATCGAGGTTAAGAGTAACCGTGACTTAAATAAAAAAATGACAATAAATGTAAAAAATTACTAAATAAACATATTTGTATTACTTTGCCCAAAAGGTAATTGATTATATGTGTAATGCCTGATCAGAGTGATTATTTATTTGAATAATTATAATCAAATTTCTCTCTCATATTGGGCATTTTCATAATAACCGGGAATTATGTATAATGCCCGATTTATCACTCGTTTTTTACACGTTCTGACAATATGACTAATATTTAATTATTTTTTTTAATTTCCAGAATGAGACGAGGGAAGCCTTGAAAACCGATGGAACGGAACAAGACCCGGTAAGTTGTTTTTTATGCATAGTCTCACTTTATTTTCTACGCATCAATCTGTAGTAATAACTTTTTAAATCTTTTATTCGTAAAGGCAATCAGTAAAATGTTACTTCTTTATGTTAGTCTTTTATTAAATTATTTAGAAGTTATTAATATTTATTAATTTAATACTTCTTCACAAACGTACAAGGCGGACTCAGTGTCTAAGGCATTTTTAACAGTCAACCTTAGGGTGATGGTGCAAAAATAAGTGGTAAGTTGCACAATCACAAACAATATAACATTAACAACTGAATAAGACTAAATTTAATGAGTTATATATCAAGTTATACATTATATATTTTGAATACATTCAAAAAACATGAATTCATGTGTAAATGAATAACATCAAACAAAACGGCTATGTAATTGATCAGATTCACATAATCCTATTTAATTATGAATAAACTATAATTTCATAAGAAGCCCCTTAGAAATTATTACCAATTTTTCCGAAATTTCCCTGGTATTTTTTTTATTACCCATTCGTTGGAGCCGTTTTAGTACGTAACTAATCACATTGAAGGTTTTTATAACATTGATAATATAGTTATATCTAATTTAATGTTTTTATCTTATATGTATAGGCTTCAAATACTCATTATATTATAAAGAAACCAATTAAATTCATTAAATTACACAGAAATAAAACTCCAAGAAAAGTTCGATATGTTCAATGAAACCTTTTTATGGATCAAAAATATTTTAGTGTTCATTATTTTAGTTTCATTTTCATGCTATCGCGGAACGCATGGCCTAGAAAATGGGCGCCATTATTACAAGCTATTACTACTATACTGTTCGTGAAAATTAAAATATATATGTGACAAAAACATATTGTTATCCTCATAAAAATATATAAAAAAGGTAAAGGAAATGATAGTATATTTTTATGAGATTATTTTTTGTATAAAACTAAGACTACAAACACTACAGCATTAACTATTTTAGTATTAATACTACTATAGTGCTAGTTTTGTTCTTGGTTCCGCTGTGTCTTAGGCAATTTTTATAAAAAATGGGATGAAATAAATAACTCGAATTTCCAACAGATAAAAACAAATGGCTTATAGGCATGAGTAAAAAAGCTGTGGTGAAGGATTATAAAAAAATATCAGACTGTAACAGGAAGGATTTATACACACATCGGCACAAGAAATAACATGTAATTATCATTGATTATTATTTTCGTGAAATTAAAGCCCGTGATTTAAATTTCTATAAAAGTTTTTTGAGGCTAATGAGCATACGAAATTATGTGGTGTCGACCTGAAAATCCCAAAAACAAGTATTATTGTGGTTTTTATTTAAATTTAGCTTTAATGCCTCTAGCACAGATAAGACACAACGCGACCGTATTAGATTGACCTAAAATGTTGCTCCAGTGAATTTGTGGTTTACGGGGTATTAGTTGTTGAATTAACGCTGAATAGTGTCGTCCACTCTCACTTGTATTGTAATAAAATTAGTTTCTGAACGTCTGTTGGAATTCGAGGGCGGAGACGACGTTAAAAAGCGCATCTAAGCTTCTTGTCTGTGTAATAGTCAACAGCAATGGGTGAAAGGTTCAATAATGGCTGCCAATTTACACCCATTTGCTCAGGCATTGATGGAATGATTGATTCGGCTGGTGACTAACACTTTAAGTAAAACACGATTGGATTTGCTTTGACTTTTATTTTCACGGAGACCTTTGTTCAACATTCGTTTTGCGGTCACTTGGGTAGTGTTAGGATGTTGAATTGCGTATTGAAGTGCACATTATGTAGGTCAGACAGTATGTACTGTGATATCGTCTTATTTTATAAGAAACAATTGAGTAATTATTAATATTTATGATGTTCCCATAGTTGACTAGTTCCTCACGTCCCGAACCGAAGTCAAAAGCGAGACCAGCAGATGTAGCTTCCACTTTAACTAAATGTTATAAGATCAATAACAGCTGTATGAATCGGGCAAAGCAGGGGCGGAATGTTAGTTTATAGTAAACATCGATGTTGCAACAATGACGCCACTATATGGTCTACAATTGAAACATCAACCTTAAACAAAGTTATGAGTTTTTTTTCACGCGTGAGCACCCTCACTCTTGGTCTCTATCAAGTACAAGAACGTCTGAATCATTTGTTGTTCAATTTCAAATCTTATTACGGGAAAAATAAGATCATCTGTTGGTCTATTTATAGCACAGTACTAAGTATTTCCACGTGGTTGTTGCCCAACATTCTCAATACAGACATAGTAGCTTGAATGGAATATGCTTTTGCAACGCGAATAAGTATATGGGTTGCGTAGGGCTCTTATAAGCCGATGAATAATAATTGGGCCATACAATTAATTTACTACTACTGGGTGTTAATTGGAATGTGGTGAAATTTTGTTCGGATAATGGTAATATTAGTAATATCAGGGTGAGTCTGAGGGGGTTTCATCAGGATTAGGAGTGTAATGCATTCTAAAGCGTTATAAGGAACTTCTGTTGATAAAGTGTTTTGAAATAATTAAGTAAAACATTAAAAAATTATGTAAGCGGTGCTTTGTATCATTTATTATATTATATTTCAGACTGCAAAAGCAACGTCTTTTATAACCTCAAAAGGTCAATATTATCTTTAAGATTATTTTAATTCAGAGAGAATTTGCTTTTCATCGCTCGGCGGTATATGCCAGGTTGTTAAATGTAATGAAGATATTGGAATACTTTCTATTAGTCCTTGATCTCGTGTTTTAATAATCCTATTAATATTATAAATGTGAAAGTTTCTTTGTTTGGATGTTTGGATGTTTGTACGTCAATCACGCCGAAACTACTGAACGGATTTTGATGAAATTTCGTATACATATAGGGTATTAGCTGACTTAGATAATAGGATACTTTTTATCCCACTTAACATTTCCCTAGGGTCCACGCGGGCGAAACCGCTGGCGAAAGCTAGTATATAATACAAATAAAAAATCAAATCTTTTCTCTGTATAATATTAGGCTAGATACATTAATATATATATATATATATATAATGTAACATCGCGAAAATATTTTATCTGGTTATTCAAAGTAATATAGTCAATGGGTAGAAATTATGTTCTAAGTTTCATTATTAAAATAATATAATTATGCTGTTTAAATGAAAATTTTAAGATAAGAAAAGATCAGAAAAGAAGATGAGTTATAACAATGATATTGTGACTTTAATTTACTTTGTTATACGACGGAAGTACTATGATAAAATTATGTTCATGTGAAAGATGAATGACGAATAATGTGGTACGCGTTTATTCGTCGGAGTGGCGTGTGCCGATATTAATCTAACAGCGTGTCGTCGCAGCGTGTGAAGTACTAGCTAGCGGCTCACATTGCATTTAAACCCTGAGACATTGATACAACTATTCGCTCTATTTTATGAAACCCTTTAACGTATAAGTTACAATAACTCTAAGTTCTTGGTTTACAGTTTAAATATTATAGTATTAAGTGTAATATAAGGTTTAATATTACAATATGCCAAGATGAAATAAATATACTGAACAACTTTTGTTATGGGAGCAACATTGAATTTACAAAAAATAATCAGCTGTTTCATACATAATTGTTATAACTACAAAAAGTATGTAACAGCTGATTTATTTTTTCATGAATTCAGTGTTGCTACTATAATAAAAGTCGTTTAGTAGGTATATTTAATTCATCCACCCCACGAATTCCTGGCACATCATTATTTTATAATATTTGAAGTCGCATAATGGTAATCATCGTAGTTATAAATTAAAATATTTCAGTGCTTTTTATAAAAAAGGTTTAGCGTCGGAGTAAATTTAAGCTAAAATTGCAATATTAGTATAAGTCGAAATTCAAGTTATACAGAGAATAAGTAAACCTACTGCCTTCTAGGAATAACTATTACTCTCTTAGAACCGCGTACCAGCACGCGTAGCATTACAAACTCGAGAAACACTTTGTCTACACTCATTTGTCAGTTTCTCGGGTCGAGAGTGAGACACAGTATGGGCGCACCCAAGAAAAGTGTTATTTGAGTGTAGACAAAACGTTCTCGAGTTTGTTATGCTACGCGTGCAGGTTAAACTTTGCCAAGTCTCTGTCTAATAATATGAATTTTGACTTATACTAAGTGCAGTCTCAGCGTAAATTTACTCCAACGCTTAAATTTAAACCTTATTTGTATTAATAACACTCGTAAACTAATAAGTTTACGAGTAAAACGATGTTTCTCAGAAAAGTTTCGGAAAAAGTTTAAAGGTTTATGTGTCACTAGAATATTTGAACTCACTAGAGTGCATGGTGATTACCACCTTAAAGTATATAGCGGTACAAATATGTGTGCAAAAAAAAGTCGTTGAGGGAAATCAGTTGTCTTAGTAGGTTTTGATAATGATACATTAGAAGAAGAAGAATAATTTATTGATCTCACTACTAATAAGGATACAATAAAGTGCAATAATAGGAACATATGATATAACATTACTGTTACGACTTTAGTCAATTAGGTCAAACATAAAATATATATTAAAATTCAAAACAATAAATTAAATAAAAATATCCAATTGTTCATAGTTAATAATATACTCAATGAAATTAAGGAAAGAACATATTTTTCATAGCAATTTGCCTAATTCGAATTGAGAATGAATGGCCTCAAATTGACCGACGTTCCTAGCACGGTAATTTGCTTAAGTGGCAAAAATGTAAACGCCTTTTGTTCTTTAGTTTATCAATTACAAAAACGAAGCGACTATTGTCGTTTTGTTGATTCGGAACCAATTCGGAGTGTTTATAAGACGGTTTGCTGGCCTAATTTTATAATGCGTGCAGCGCTCGGCGCGGTTCGTAGCGACGACTCCGGCGCCGGCGCAGGCGTGCGAACCGCCCTGACACACTTTCAGCTATTTACAACCTTTTTTTTGTGTATAAAACTTTCAAGGGGTCGTGACTGTGAAATGGTGCATTATCAAATGTCGGTGCCAAATTCGATAGTTTGTTTTGAACGTTTTATAGATAATGGACGTAATCTACATGAAATGGGTACACAGGAGATTTGAATATAGTTTTTTTTTTTAATGTAACGGTCTCGAGTTGTTTATTTGTAAAGTGCGTCCAATTATAAGGTTGGTTAACTATGACACTTATTGTAAAGAGGCAGCCAAAACGTCTTATGTGCCGGAAGACGGTGTTTATGGCCCGTTATCTCATGGCTATCACTTATTGCACCATGTCCGCCCGCGGTAACGCTGCGTGCTTGTATTTTGATGGGATCTTAACATAACATAACATCTGTATGTGTATGAACAAAACAACGATTTGCTTCAAGTGTTTTGTTGAGTTTGTAAGATTATCTACGAGTTATCGTAATACAAGGATTACGAGTCGGTGGCCGTGACTTCGCCTAGCCCGTGTATGTCGTGACAGTTCTATAAAACCCCTTTGTAAGGAACATGGATTTACTACTTTATAAATCACTAACTTTTGTCCCATCGCTTAGTCCGCGTGTAATTCGGTTGTTAAAACTATCATATGTAATTTCCCAAGGGTCACTCTATCTGTATACCAAATATATTTAGTTCAATAGTAGCGTGAAAATATAACATACAGAATTATTTTACAATAGTAGTATGAATTAACTACTTCCAGTTGAAATTTCATTGATTAATTATAGAAAAGATCTTATTATTGACCAAAAAACATCGAATTTAGCTTTTAGAAATTAACAGTGAAATTCTCCTATTGACGATAATATTATTGAAAATACAAGAATAATTGTAAATTCACAAGGAATAAAGATTTCATAAATTTTAAGTACTTTATTATCCTATTACAATAAAAACTATAAATATAACTGCAAAATAACTACAAAATGCGATGCACCGGTCGTCCGAGCTTAATTTTTATGGTCACGTAGTTTGTTTGTGTTTGTAATAGGGCTCTTAAGATGGTACGTAAATGAAAAAATAATGTAACGTTGTTTATTGATTATCTGTTTTCTTGCTGAGCTTTATAGACTAACATCTAATTTATATAAATGCGGTAAGTAACAAGAGTTATGTGAAATGTGTCGTGAGAGAGATGGTGTTTAATTATTAGCAGGGGTAAAGCCTTTGTAATTCAAGTAAGGTTTAATCTAAGAGTAGCTTACCGCCGGATTGGGTCCGCCTTCGTTTTTTGCTGGCTCTAGGTTTTTTCTTCCGTCTATTGTTCTACTTTAATTAACTAAATAAACATTAGTTTATTGGATTAACATTCACTAATGAAACTTATATTTTTTATTTATTTATATAAGGTACACCAACATCTTTACGTGTAAATAGATTTTTTACATACGCGAATAATTGTACAGGACAATAACTGGTATACACAACATTGTTTAGAATTAGGTTAAGTTACTTTTGTAGGTATCTTAATAAAATAAATAAGTGTGAACTTATTCGTTCTTGAATTTTACAATTGACTCAAAAAATCCAAATAAGTGTTAAAATAATTAACATCAACATTTAATGAAACCAGTTATTTTTAATCACATTAATAATATACTTTTTTAACGCAGGACTAGTTTAATAATTTTGAAGTTATTAAAGGAAATAGGGTAACAATGAGCATTCCCCCTTTTGGTCTCAGAAAAACCGTGCATAATTTTAAAAGATAACGTTACGGTTAACAGAATTTTTGTTCCGAAATTTTCCTAATAAGTACAAGTTGATTCACGGTAGGGACAACGAATTAAATTAAAGTACAATTGTGGGCCAACTCAAATTGCTATGAGAGCAGTTCGGGATACCAGCAGTCCTATCGCATCACTACATTAGCTTAACATTGGATTCACTCATGTTCAATGCACACATTTATGAACATTTGTTTCAACCCGATGTATTAAAATTACACACTTTATGTAATACAGAACACTGAAGTCCATTTTGATTGAATCCAATGGTCAATCAATTCGAAGGCAATGTTAGGTACGTGCCTCCAAATCCAGATGTTAGATATTAAAAATTGGATTTTTGTATATTTTCAGGTAGTGTTTCTGTCGGAGAAAAACAGCTATATCCCTGTGAGTATTAAGCCAAGATCGCCAGCTGTTGACACAGCATGGCGGGAGCCACCGGCGTGGGAGAGAGAATACCGTCGGCATAGAACGAACGGTAGTCGTGTGCAGTGTAAGCAGTATTTATTTTCCCATTTATACAAGGTGTAATAATATTATGTGCCAGTACTTCGTGGATTGGGTGAGTTTAATATACCTACCGAATAGCTTTTACTGTGAAGCAACACTTAATTCACGAAAAAATAATCAGCTGTTTCATACTGTTGGCGATTGAAATTATTATAATTTTGTATGAAACAGATGATTATTTTTTTTGATGCTCAGTGATGCTTCAATGTTAAAAATTATTCAGTATATTTAACTCATCAACTCCACGCAGTTCTAGCACACGTTATGGCGATATGTCGTTTCATTTTAATACTTTGACATGTTTTTTGGTGGAAAAAACGCCATACGGCTGGTTTCTTAATTGAGAGAATTACAATATATAACTTAAGTTTAAGCAGTCGCCCGGATCGCAAAAGGTCATGGGTTCAAATCTTAGGGTGCAAGGGACTAAGTGGATTTTTTAAGCATATTTCATTAAGAATATATATTTTTATATATAACGTAGTATAACATAGTGAATGCGAAATTTATAAAATATAATTATTTTTACGTTTAATAAGTCAAAAAGTCTTAGTTTTTATCAAACTGCTTTCAACTGATCATTAAAAAATTAATTCAGAAACATAAACCTGTTTAAGTGATGTTTAAGTACTATACTGTTCTAAGATGTACTCAACTTTAAATTCTTATATAAACTTTTAAACTTTCGCGTTGCATTATATTAGATTGTCTTATACAATCTAATATAATATATCGCGTTAATACCCGTCTTATACAATTTAAATTCTTAATTCAGAAACCGGGTTTAAGTTACCAACTTAAAACCGTTGTCAAATCCATAATTATAATTCTTACATTTTACTTCAACCCAGATTTTTAATGTTATAGCTGTCACATACCAAATTATAAATTGGGCCTAATAAAAATTCATAGAAGTTGTTTAGACTTTTGCGAGATCATAAGATATCTAATGAAAATAAATATCTACCTCGTGTGTTCATAAATTCTGAGACGAAATAAAAGTTGCGTAACTTTTTTAATAATTAACTTATATTAAGCTACTCAATTGTAATATTGAGTTTAAAAAACTATGTATGAAATTCTTTTGGAAATAAATATTATTATTATTATTATTTCAAAAAATTTCAGTAACCATTAAACAGATAATAATCAACAATAAAATATAAATTTCATTCAAAATGACCGTCCTTGTTTTAAATACAGACCCTTAGGCGATTTGGCCAGTTATCAATGGCGGCACGAATCTTTTCTAGCGGAATTCGCTTCGCTTCTCGAAAAATAAACATATCTTTAACGATAGATGCTGAAAAAACTAACTCGCCTCAGGTACCCCGAGATGGGACTCGAACCAACAACCTTCTGCAATCCGAGCAACTGCTCTAACCATTGAGCAGTCGCAGTTACTTTTCGCTACTAGTGAGCGTGTTTTCATTAATGTTTAAATTCAAGCATTTTTTTAATTAAGAATAGATTAGAATAGAATAATTCTTTATTGTACAAAAACACCAATAAATAAAATAAGTAACAATAATATAGAACAAATAGTACAATCGGCGGCCATATCGCTAAGAAGCAATTTCTCTTTGGAAAATTTTAATTTAAATCAAAATTAGGTAGTCTATGGTGTCTTAAATGTACATGATATAAACATACATAGATAATTATCATACATACTATAACTATAAAATATATAAGAATATTTAATAATTATAATATTTTCCGATATAGCATTGTGATTGCAAAATTGAGCAAATATAATGCCTACCTATAAAGACATTAGGTACCAAAACATTAAAAATTAAAAAAAAATACAGATTCGTATCTAATGTTACTAAACCTAGATCAGTGGTTTTAAAATTGTTAGTAACCAAATTTTACACGGTGTACTAAAATTAAGTCTAGACTTTTTATTATTAATAGTATATAATATTTATTATTCATAAGCGTATTTAACTTTAATTTCGATTTATTAATTGCATTATTATATTACAGATATTGAAGCCGAATGCCAGGACGACTTCATGAAGATCAGAGTTGGTTTTAACGGATCATTCGCTGGCCTTGTCTATTCTGCCGGTAAGGGTTACATGGTGAAATTATGCGGAGGACAACTGCGACTGGGACCGCTTAAACTCGAATCGCGGTCCCACTTGTCGGATTGATTTCATTGATTTTAATATTTTTGACTCCGGGTTCAATTACAAATGTGCCGTAATCAGTTAAATCATATTGAAAATAAGTATTTTCATGTTAACCGATCAAATGTTTTTAGGTGACCAAAAAAATATTACGATTACACAGTTTCAGAACACAGAAGTGCTCGACATAATAATTTTTGGTCACCCATCCTATGATCGGCGATTATGAAAGATGTTTATCTACGTCATCGCACACTTAAAGCACTATTCACTTCGCCGTTGAGCTTTATGGCGGTAGTGTATTTTTATGGCAATGTTCAAACCATAAAATGACAATCTAAAAGGTACACCGTATTTATTAGACACAGTTAGGTACTGCTACTTATCTAGTACTAGATGTCATTATATTGTTGTACAGATTATTAAATCTCAGTCCATTCAAGTCAGGCGCCACACGGATCAGATAACCGATGCACAAAGCAACGAGTTAAAATTAACAGATCTCGTTATAACCATTATAAGTAACTGTTATCTATTCAAGTTTTTTTTTTTTAACACTATCACAATTAAAACGGAACGCTCCCTTTTACGTGACAATTATAATCGTTATGGCTGTTCTACATTTAAATTGTGCACGCAGAATAACTGATGTTTATTGCGTCTCTTATAAAAAATATCACCTAATTATTTAGAGTTAATGTTGCTATAATTCAGAAACTGTGTCTTTAGGTTATTATTTAAACGGTTTTAAAAAAATACTTAAAAAGAAATAAGGTTATTGCTCCAATGAATAACCCTCAAGGAGGTTACAGTTTTTATTGTGTATCTGAATAAGACGCACAACATTCATAAGTTTTGTAACAGGCGCACGCTTACGCAGCTACTATTCGATAGAAATATATTTAAGTGAATTTCTAAGTTTTTTAAGTAAGTATGTTTACGTTAATCTTCGTAGACTCGTAAATTTTCTTGCCTAAAGAGAAAAACAAAATATATTGTGCATTTACCAAAGCACACCTAATTTAAACATAATCACTTAAATGTTTATCCAAAATAATAGCTAAGTGTTTTGTGAGTTTCTTTTGATAATTCATTCGAGATTTTTCCTTACCTTTTTTACTGATAAAGGTATCTGAACACAATATGGACTTCAGAGAGCATACTATAATGACAAAAAGTTCTGTAGAAAGTTTCTCGAATAATGAAAATAAATTAAATGAAGAAAAATATCTATATGCTTAAAAATGTCGATGAGAAAAAGTAGTTATAATAACACTTTCCCTGCCTCTTGTTATTCATAGAACAGCTACGTGGGTAACTGATTAACGATATGATTGATACGTTTATTGACAATGCACTAGGAAATTGTTTGCGGTGGTTCTATAAGAGTTCTTGGAAGCTCAATGATTAGACTATTCGTTGCAGTTTTGGAACATAATTATGTCTTATACTAACATTCGCTTGATTTTCAATGAGTTAACGCAAATGGTACGCTTTCACTGACCGTATAGTTATAAATGCCTGAAAGATTGATTCGATGTACTCTGACTATAAGTAACTAAAAATAGAATTTAGTAGTAAATTTAAGTAGGCAATTTTTTTCATGTAAGCTCTTGACTTATAACTGAAAGTTGGCGAATGATATTACCTAACTATATATATATAAACATCATAAAGAGGTAGTTTCTAAATTTGTTTGTTTGTAGAAGATAATCGACGGAAAGCCTGATCCTATTATGAAAATTCTACACCATAAGCGGAGCAAACTAGTAAACAAACAAATAAGAAAGTATTAAATTAAATTCCTATAAATAATTAAAATCTTTAAATAAGCAGTGTGAATATGAACCTTACATTTTTTTTAATAAATGCTATATCATATGGGCAGGATTTTACAATTCTGTTTGTTTTAGAAATACAATTATACTTCAATAACATTCTCTTAAATAAGTCGCATTTGAGATAAGTATTATTCATCACTTGTGTAGTTGAAAGTCGATTTGTATTTTTTAAATTTTATATTTCATTCTTTTTATTCACATTTTTTTTATATAATAGATAACACAAAAAAAAATACTGGCTTTCCGGCCCGCGTTGTCCCTATAGAACTGTTTACTTATATCTATTCATATTATGACACGATGAAACGGATATAATTAGAATGACAAATTAAATAGTAAACAATGGTTGCTATAACGCCTTCATTCCTTAATTTGCTGTGTTATAACTGCTGTGTAATAGCCTATGTTCTTTCTTTTTATAATTTTGAAAATAGGACTAGAAGTTTCGGAGCCTATTCGTTGCAAACAAACAAACAAATAGTCAAATATTTCCTCTTTATAATATTAGTATAGATAGATCTATTTAAATAAAAATATTCAACATAATTAAAGTCTTAGAAAAGAGGATTTGTTGATTTGCTCGACATATTTCTTTCCAAAAATTATATACTCTTTAAAAAGGAAAGATTTTATTGCTTGTTTGTTTCATTTATAAAAGTGCTTCACCTACGGGAAGCTATATAATACGCGTTGGACATAGGCTTTTTACGCAGGCGAAGTCGCGGGGAAACAGCTAGTTTAATAGAAATTGGTTTATATTCAAGAAGAAATCGATTGACACAAATATACATACTACTTGAACATAGAAAATCCTCCTTTCGGATTTCGAATAAATTTAAAATACGCAATCTTTTGCTTTTTTAGCTGTGATACATGAAATACAATAGATAATATCATCTAAATATTTAGGTGTTATATGTAAAAAGCGTATTTTATTTTGTTATGGCAAATTACTGATTCGATTTGGTAAAATTTTAAAGGACCACTTCGGTCAACTAAGCTGTCGAATAAAAAAATACTTTCGAAAATTAGTCAACAATTGGCGGCAATATCGGCGAACATACGTAAAAAAATATATAACCTCATCGTTTTGGATTTTGAAGTCGATTAAAAACATAGTTTTCTGGACCCGCATAACCAAAGAATTGTATGATAAGATTGATAGCAAAAGAGTAAAAATGAGGAAATTAAAGTTTTCTACGATTTCTTAATCGAATCTTTAATGATAAATTTTAATTTTAATGAGAAATGCTTATAAAATCCCGTCCACCTCGGGGTACCTGAAACTGGTGGACCTTTAAGCATTTTCTTAAAAAAAATATTGGTCTTAAAATTTTCATATAATATCATCCAACAGGGTATTCGTACGACCCAGACTGCATGTACATCAACGGTACTGGTCGCGACTACTACGAATTCTACATCCAGTTGAATAGGTGCGGTACCCTCGGCAGAAACAGTCAGCACGACGACACCAGGAAACACCCCACAGTGAGCTTTTTAAATTTTTAGTATGGCTAAAAATTTTCTACGTTTACCCTGCAAAGATTATGCAATTGATCGCTGGGCAAATTGGTCTGAATCACTCATGAACATCACACTGAACATTTAAAACGAATTAATGTCTCCACTGCTGGAACTCAGGCCTTCCCTATGGATGGAATCGAATTCAATCGAATCGAGAATGGGCCATGATCACTTGAGCTCAGTGCGAATTAGTGGGTATTAACGACAGCAGATGCAGCCGCGACCAACGGCTTAACATACATTTCGAGGCACTGAGCAGCTTGGGATAATAAATTTTTTGTCTACCATCCTACATCTGACGGAAGTTAGTTAACAACTGTATCACAGACTGAGCGCGTTAACCACTCATCAAAGTAATAATAGAACGTTATAATTACCTTAGTTCGTCGACTATACTATAATACTTTTATATTGTCTTCCGTAGCAATATGTGTAGAGTAATCGATGATTAAGTCTTTCCCCGGGAAAACATTCCAGCATACCAATTGATGTTACTTACCTATGTTATTATATTTAATTTCAGAAAAACCTGATGTGGAATACCATCACTGTTCAATACAATCCGTTGATCGAGGAAGAGCTTGACGAACATTTCAAAGTTACTTGCGAGTATGGATATGACTTCTGGAAGACTGTCACCTTTCCTTTTCTCGATGTCGAGTAAGTAATTGGTTAATTTATTATTTTTATGTCCTTATTGCCATCAAAGCAACTGAATAGTTAAATGGTGTTTAGTTTGCGTTATGAATTCGCTAGCAGACCACCACCACGATTTATAAAAAACAAAAGTTCACCTATGTACATTTTTAACATCAATAGTTGCTATGAATATTAGGGTATTTCATCCTACGATATCAACAAGATATCTAATGAAAAGATCAGGGTTAATATCAAGGCATACCGATTAAAAATACACATCTTTTCACCACTCATAAGCATCAAGTGAGTTTGAGATTAAGAGGTGGTTTCAGCAGACTTCGCTAAGTAAAACCTTGGTGGTTGCTCCCCTGTTTCACCTGCCATATTAATGCCACCCGCTTGCTATGCCACTAGTTTAATTTGAGGCTAGGTACCTATTTTATTCTACGATATAATCGAGATACCCAACAAAAAGATTAGGATTCATGTCAAGAAGGTATATTAAAAATGCACATCTATTAAACAACATGTGAGCAATAAATGAGTGCAGCAGGTTTCACTAAGCAAAACCATGGTGGCTGCATCTCCTCTGCTTCAGCATCCCTGGCGAAGACCATTCCTGTCATGCGCTTGATGTGTCATTATTTTAACTTTAAGTCCAATTTGCGATAGTTGATTTTTTAAATAAGTATGCTGCATAAGTATATGTATAAGTATGCTAAATAATGTTCTGTCTTGCAGAGTTGCAACGGGTAATCCCGTTGTGTTCACTCTGCAGCCGCCGGAGTGCTACATGGAGATCCGGTCCGGTTATGGCGCGACCGGCGCACGGGTATCCGGCCCGGTCCGGGTAGGCGACCCACTCACACTACTCATCTATATGCGAAGCGCTTATGGTAAGTACAGCGGATAATCTTAGCAATCTCTACAACTGATATATCTCCACCAGAAGGGAATGACATCATTATCTGCAATGTGAAGATAAGGTGTCATCATCAGCTTTTACATCCCCACTGCAGGGGTTCAGGCCTTCCTTATGTATGGTTAAGGAGGATGGGCCATGACCCTCCACGCTGGCCCAATGCTAACTGGAGGGTGTCAACGAGTGTAAATGCCTGTAAAAGCACGGAGGAGCTCGTGATAATAATTTTTTAATCATACATCCCGTGACAGACCCTTGCGAAAGTTGCTTAACAACGATAGAGTGGCCATGGCGCTTATTCACTCCTCCACCGAGATACTAATATTAGATAAAAGATTGGATATAGGTTTTTTTTTTAGATATTTCAAGCTTCGACAAAGACCCTCGATCGCTTCGCCTTTTCATTTTACCAGCCCGCAGGCCAATTTTGCTAATTTTTTCGTAATAATAGCATCTCAATGGTATTTCAACGACTTGCTTTTTGCTTGACTTGCAATATCTTCCTTACACATCGATGGTGTTGGACTTCAGGTAGATAAGATGGCAAGATGAAAGTAGTTGAGATGCAATTATTACATAAACATTAGCAAGAGCGGCCTGGTGAACGAATGATATTTAAAAAAAAAATTGGACAAATTAAAAGTACGTTTATAGATTTATTTGAATAAAAATAATTTTAAATTTGACATCTTTAAGCCATCTGCTGCCGTCATCATCATTATGATGAGACCAGACAGGGTGTTCTACCATAGCGGTATAGGCCTCTTTCAATTTTCTCCATTGCGATCTGTTTTGGGCAACTTGGATCCAATTTGTGCCCACCAGCCTTGTCACATCGTCATTCCACCGCATTTGTGATCTTCCGAGGTCTTTTTCAACCCCATGATTTCCATTGCAGGACCATTCTGCACCATGAGTGCTGCTTCCTGGCTACATGTCCAGCCATTTTAGCTTTGCTACGCAATGCGTGACTTGACTGCGTTTTCAGACATTCGTTTTTCTGTCTCGAAGCACATTTTGTTTTTGGATGATATTCATTTCGAAAGCAAAGGCGAGTTTTGAAAATGTTGCCCAGCCTAAACGTCTGCTGGCGTAACGTCCATTAATCCTCACTGGCATGTTAGGTCATGGACCGTTCTTCCAATCCGATTATATGCCATCCAAAGCCTGGGCCCAAAATAGTGGGGGGCATTAAATAATGAGTATGTAAAAGATAGAATTGTAAATTTTCTTTTTTTATTCGATTTACTATCCCGTAAGTTAAAGCATTCAAAACATCAATAACTTATAATATTCGAACGGTAATATTATGATTTGACGTAAATACCGTACCGTTCAAGGGCATAATCTGTAACGGTGTTGTAACAATGTTCGCGTGATGCAGTCCATCTCGATCCGACTATCCAGTGGATCGATCCACCGATTATTATCGATAAGATTCGCATGGAAGTGTGTCAAACTTTTACTCGATAATGAGTGGCTGTGATTTTTGGTTGCAGATGGGTTCGATATCGTGGTGAATGACTGCTTCGCTCATAATGGCGCTACGAAGAGGATTCAGCTGATTGATGAATATGGGTATGTTATTATTATTATATCAAAAAGTTAAATCAGGTTTTTTTGTACCGTCAACTGTGTTCAACAAAACTAATCTTATCGAATGTTTCCACTTTATTTTAAACCTTATTAATTAACATTGCAAATAAGTTCGAAATCAATCGCGAAACTTTGTAGGTAATTTTGGTCACTCCCGTACTATATAAATTAACGGGAGTGCGAAGTTAGATTTTGTTAACATTTTAATTAAAAAAAGGTACTGCCTTATATTTTATCTAAACATTTAATAAAGACAGCTGAAATTCTGATGCCAAGAGGTCAGATAACATGTGTATATATAAAAACAAGTTTTTCTTGTGTTCTGTTAAAGTTAATCGGTGTAACAGTTTTATAATAATTTTCGTTTTTGTTCCGGTATTTGCAGGTATCAATTATTCAATGAAACTACTTATTTATAGTATCTATAATCTACAGGTATTAAATTTGCAATAAAATACCAGTTTAAATATTGAACACGGCATGCCACGGTTTCATTTCTTTTGAATAGATGGCGTTGGTATACAAATAGGGGATGGGACAACTTTTTTTAATTCAATAAGGTTTTTATTCCTACAAAAATATTATTCATAAAATAGGCTTCATAAGTACCTAACTACTTACCCAAATATATGGTTTAATCTTATTCGACATTATATAATCTAAGTCATAATCAAATAAAAAAGCTTCGTAAACAGTAAATAACCCATAAAGTTCGATGACGTCACCTGATCTGATTTGTGTTTCATTTGAGCTACAAACAAAATATACCTGTAATTAAATTCTAAAAATGATATTGAAATATGAACATTTGATTTTTTATCCGACTGCTGTCTATTCTTCTATTTGATACTGGAACAGAAATGTCTGTAGTCCGTTAGTTCAGGTAGGATAGCATTCGCCCAGGAAGTGGGAGTTATTTTTTAAAGTATGTTTCCATAGATGTTTTCCTTTTAATTTCATTTCGCAAACCTTTCGCTTGTAGCTGTCCAGTAGACGACAAACTGATCTCCCGTTTCCGAGGATCATGGTCAGAGTCTGGTGTGTTCGAGACGCAGGTGTACGCATACATGAAAACATTCAGGTTCACTGGGTCGCCGGCGTTATACATTGAGTGCGATGTACGGATGTGCCACGGGAGGTGTCCGGTGAGTTTACTGGGAATATTTCTGTTCATATGTTTTATAACAATGTCTAACAAAAACAGGTATATAAGAATTTATGAGCTGTTTTTGTGTACAGAATTTTATTTTTGGCCATAACTATTGACGAACACATTAATTGGGAATTGGATATTGAATCTGTATATCATAAATTGGACAAATATGCATATGTTTTGAGACATTTGAGAAATACAGTATTTGAAAATTCTGCAATGCTAGCATATCATACTTATGTACAGACAATATTGAGATATGAAATAGTTTCATGGGGATTCTCAGTTTATTCTCAGCATTAAAGCGTTTCGAGTGCAAAAGAAATGTTTGTTTACTGTTTGTGGAGCAGGATCAGTAGATAGATACTTGCAAACCTTTATTTAAAAGTAAAAACATGTTGCCGCTGCCGTGCTATATGTGCCGTTACAAAAACTTAAAATACACAGCAGTAACTCTTCCTTTATGTTCATCCGCATATTCAACAAAATACCTGACGGTTTGAAAAATTTACCATTGAATAAATTCAAAGTGACATTGCATAATTTTTTGATTCAAAATTGATATTATTCTATACAAGATTATTAAAATGATAATAGATCTAATGAGTAACTCGGTGGCGTAGTGGATAAGCGCCGTGACCGGCGATCGTTGTCGTTAAGCAACTTTCGCAGGGGTCGGTCACGGGATGGGTGACCAAAAAAATATTATCTCGAGCTACTCCGTGCTTCGGAAGGCACGTTAAGCCGTTGGTCCCGGCTGCATTTGCAGTCGTTAATACCCTCTAATCCGCATTGGGCCAGCGTGGAGGGTGATGGCCCATCCTCTTTACCCATCCATAAGGAAGGCCTGAGCCCCTGCAGTGGGGACGAAAAAGGGCTGATGATGATGATGAATGGATCTAATTGTTATTTTAAGTTCATTTTGATTTTTTTTTCTAATTCTAATTAAATATTTGGACGCATGTAGTAGTAGATATGTTATGGATAAATTTTAGATAACATTTTTAAGTATATTTTTGTACTTATTTTTTCTAATTATAATAAATATTAAGCTAATAACTGTGATTACCACATTTTCAAACAAATAAATCTTTGATTGATTTAATTTGTGTGATACGTGGCCGTTCACCATGGGTCTCGTAAGAAGTTAAAGGTCACCCAGCGGACAATGCAGAAGCGAAGCTTAGTGTGTCTCTTCGTGGTCTTATTATACCATATCATACTCCAAAGTCAGTTCAGGCAGTTTAGGTGATAGGTAAATATTGAGCTTACTTTTCGCTGATGATGTAATTCAACTGACGCTGACGTATAATCTGACTAAGGTTTTATTTTATGCTGCTATTAGATAGATTAAAAACATGTTCAAATTTTCCCAAACATTAAGTCTTATAGTAAACGGTGGGATAGCGATCAGTACATGATTGTAAACAACATTAAGATTTAGTTAACTATTACAACTGTTTTTTTTTTCTTTTAGTCTCAACCGTGCCACTGGCGTAATATGAAGAGCGTGAAGCGACGTTCCGTAGAGGAGACGGAGAGAGCGGCCAGTGTAGCGCCGCGACTGTCAGAGAACATCTCCCTGTTTCAGTCACTCCGAGTACTGCAAGAAGGAGAGGAAGACTCCGAGCTCGCTGCTAACACTGGTTGGTTTCAATCAAATTAATTTCTACATACAATGTCTTCCGGAAATATTGATTCGGATCTGGGGGGCGACCGCCCGACTATCAAGCCATAATTTCAGTCAATACATAGGTACTATCGCCATTACTGGAGTAGCTCGGTAGTGTAGTGGATAAGCGCCGCGGCCTGCGACTGGGATGGGTGACCTGAAAATTGTTATCTCGAGCTAATTCGTTCTACGGAAGGCACGTTAAGCCGTTGGTGTCGGCATTGGGCCAGCGTGGCGGGTCGTGGCCCGTCCTCCTTAACTATCCATAAGGATGGCCTGAGCCCCTGTGGGGACATAAAAGGACTAATGATGATGATGATCGCCATTATATCGTATTATGATACGACATCAAGCCATGTTATTGCGATATTTCGTTTCATTTTACTACGTTGACATATACTTTTAATAACGACGGATTATGATTATGTCTTTGACAGTAGCCTTACCAACTTACATCCGGTTTCAGAATTGAGTATTTCAAGTCTCTAACTGTATTTAAACAGGTTCAGATTTCAGATTTCAGTTTTTTTTTATGATCAGTGCATAGTAATTTGTTAAAAATAGGACTTTATGCCGTTTGTAAAGTAAAAATCTTTTATTGAGAATAATCAGTTGAGATGTTGTACTTTTCTCAATTCCGAAACCTCCCTGGCGTAGTGCATAAGCGTCGCGGGCCGCGATCGTTGTCGTCAAGCAACTTTCGCTAGGGTCGGTCACGGGATGGGTGACCAAAAAATTATTATCACGAGTTACTCCGTGCTTAGGAAGGCACGTCAAGCTACATTGGGCCAGCATCCTCCATCACGGTCTATCCTCCTTAACCAGCCATAAAGAAGGCCTGAGGCCTTGCAGAGGGCACGTAGGTCTGATGATGATGAATTATAATGACTAACGGTCAGTTGCAAAAACGTCCATTAAGGTTTAACGCCTTTAAGCTCTAATTAGTGGCGGACTAACCCTGTCGGGGGCCCGGGGCGTTATTAGGTCCGTACCTACAATTTTTTACAACTGCAGAAAGACCCCCCTGCTAAGACGCCTGCTAAAACTACGAAATTAAGAAAGATAAGGAAGTACAACCCCAATTTATGATTTGATCTAGGGAACTTTCAGCCATTTGGAGGCCCCCCAGGATAAGAGCCCCGGGGGCGGACCGAATTTGTATGGGCAACGTTGCTTTAAACTAATAACACTTTAACGGACGTTTGTGCAATTGGCGATAGAAGAATCTCTCGTTTGCAGCTTTTGCGGAGGGTCAGACGTGCATGAAGACGTCCGCGCTGTCGGCGCTGGTGGCGACGTGCGGCGCGCTGGTGGCGGCGCTGTGCGCGGCGCTGCTGGTCGCCGCGCGCTCCATGCGCCGCGCCTCGCGCGCCAGCGCCCACCACGCGTACGTGCCGCACAAGGGACGCATCAAATAATAACCATCTCACAACAACATTCCTAGCGAACTTCCTATTAAAGCCCGTTTAGACCAAACGAGCGAATGCTCATTCTGTCTCCGCTCTATTAAATTCTGTTAGTGTAAACAGTCTGAAAGCATTCGCTCGTTGTTCTATCTGCATTCGCAAAGATTCTATGGAACATTTTGAGAATGTTCGTTAGCTCGGTGTAAAAGGTACTAGAGCGTGCGAATAGTTGCTTAGAGCGTTCTTGCGTGTTAGGATACGGTCGCTCATCAGAGCGGTCTCTTCAAGGTGTTCTTATGATTTGAGTACATATTGCTATCGATTACATGTGCATTCGTTTGGTCTAAACGTTTTGCAGAATTCTAGTTCATGGTTCACTTAAGACGAATTTTCATTTACACTAGAAGAACACGAAAGAATACTTCATATAATAGTAGCGATGGTCGATTTTGCTCCTGTTAGTTGGTTAGATGGCGCTAGCGTTGTTGGGGGCGGGAAAATGACTCCGTTTAAAAACAAAGACACTATAAGAGTAAAAAATAAATACGTTTCCTATTTTAAGATTATTTATCGACGCATTTTTTTTTATTCAATAAGTGTAGTTATACCGTGTTATTGTGTTAAATTTTAAATGAAATGTATAACAGGGTTGTTGGACAGTTGGAAGATAAAAAAATTGAGTAGATGGGAGAAAGATGGATTTCATAGAAATATAAAGTCCGTATTACCTTAGACATCTACTCATTTTTCAATTTTTCTAACAGTCAATATATAATTAGCTTGTTGACTTTCAAAATATATCGAATTATTTTAACAAAGAAAATAATCAAATGACAGCTGACATTACCGCCAACCTACCTAGCGCTACATACATTTAGTGACCATTATGATTGAATTTGAATTTATTTTTCACACGTTTTATTGAAGTTACGCTACGCCAGCGTGACATTGTGTGCCTGGAATTAATTTCGTTCAACTAGTTACGCTATAGGATCGATTAAAAAACCTTTCACCTGAAGTAGGTACCTATATATCAAGGCACCTGACTATCGAATTTATTTTGTCTATAAAAGTAAATATAGCTAGCATTGTAAATTCGAAGTTTATCAAATTTAATAACGCATTTTTTATTTCTTTTATTAGATATTTAATCACGAAAACAATTGAGTGATATGTCTGCCTCTTAATTTATAAATTAAATTATAGATTAAATAAAATATACTCATTACAATTAAATGATTTATACCTATATAGACAAATTGAGAGGACTCATATTTTATTGAAATATTTCTCCTCCTGTTTGTCAAGTATCTATTATAGTTACGTCTCAAGATTGTGATAAAATTTAAGTTGTCTAAGTATGTACTATATAAGGTTAATTTATTGAAACTTAATTATGTATACTATGACGTAATACACTCTGTTACGTAAGACCGTGCATAGAAAATCTGTTAGCTCAATGCTCAATTATTTTCTTATTTATTACCTACTGTATTGCATAGTACTGTTTGTTTATGGAGGAGGTAGGTAGATTGCATTTGCATGCTTTAAAGTATCGTGTTGTAAGACTAAAAAAATAACATTTTATAAATAATCTTATACAGGGTATATTTTAAAACACCAGTATACTTACAGGACTTCATAAATAATAGATAAGTTGCTTATAAACTCAAAGCCAATTCAGCCATCTTTTTTCACGTTATATATTTGTAATTTAGAGGTCTATTTTGATTGTTTTATCTTTCTGAAGTAAGGAAATAAGTTTGACTTTAAGCACATTTTTTTAATAAAAGTGATTTTGGCCTTTTGTTTTGTGGGCCTTTAGTTTATAAGCTACGATATTTTTTTATCAGCAGGTTGTTTTCATCTCTGAGGTCCTGGGTTCTATTCTCAGTCGAGTCTATGTAGAAGACGAACTATTATACTCTACTTTATTGTTATAGGTTTGTTGTGTCATCTTCATTATTTCAGATTTCCAAAATATGTACTTTAGCTACTTTATGTCAGATCTAAGCAATATAGCTGTCTAATATTCTTGGTGATTCTTGAATGTGCTCAAAGAACACTGATTAAGGTCATATATTTCAAAAATGTTATTATCCAACACAATTCATTTACAAGCTCACGTGTTGTGTACGTACATGCGTATATATTGGTGTTGCGAATTATTGAAAGTTAGGTAGTAAATTTTTATTATGTCTATATAGTATATGGACTATCAAAACTGATAGAAGTAAGGTTCTTGTTTATGATGTTGGCTATATAGTCCTTGTTGAGAAGTTGTTGGTGTATTACTAATAACCCTGTATATGACTTCTATTTTGCGATAATAAAAGCAAACCTAAGCGGCACGGCACACCAACCCAGCAATTTATTAGTAATGTAAATATGGCCATTAAGAGCCTTATTATAAATACAGACAAACTCGCTGGTATGGTCATCATAACAATTGAGCTCGGTAATTTTGCAGTTATATTTATCGTGGCTATTGGATAAGAAATTTGTGGTATTATCTGGTATGAAGTAATTTTGTTCAATAATATTATTGTAGATAAGATAAAATCAGTTAACTAAAATAACTGCCATCGAGCATTTTATGAAAAATATTTCTTTAGAATATTGGATTTCATTAAAAATAAAGCACAATTTACAAAAAGCGAAGCCACTACAAAATATGCCAATTGTTATTCGGCACTATTTAATATGCCATAATTATTAATAAATTTTTGGTTCCGAGATCAAGAACGCCAAAAATAATAATTTTCCGAAATAATCACAATCAAAATGTAATAGGACCCTTAAATAGTCTGTGTTTTAATTATGTTATTTATTTTACATCGCCGCCGGGTTGGAGTAGTGCCGTGTATGACCTTATTAGTGCTAAAATTATATGCACTACGATTTAGTTATAATTCAAATGTGTAAATATTACTTTAAGATTTATTTAGCACTATTAGTTAAGTTTTAGTTAAATATTATGTGTAGATTTTAGATATCAAACTTTCACAGCATTGTACAAACATTTTGAAGTGTGAAAATAAATGGTTTAAAACAACTTCATTCTTTTGTTTAATGCATTAGATCAAAAATGTCACGTACGAATTTTGACGCTACGTATTTCATATGTTTTTAAAAGTTCTATTTTCTTTTTCTTGAATTGAAGCTCATGAAATTAAATCATTGATCTATATTAACCTCTTCGGTCCCTTCCCTTATAATTCGCATGAAAGTTAACATCTGGCGGTGGCTTGAAATGCAAAAGTGTGTAATCGATAATTATAATAATCGACAAAAATTATTATATATATTTTTAATTATCAATATATAACCATTATAATCGATGTATAAAAGACGTATGTTTCTAAAGTAAAAAATCAATAATCACGCGTTTGACAGTAGCATATTTTCTTTCGCGCCATTTTCCTCCCGATCTACACACGATTTTGATTTTTTTTTGTGAAAATGTTATAACTCTTTTTTCTTGTTATATAGATAGATTTCTGAAAAATGAGATTTATATTTTTATTGACCGCTGGCTTGCGAGCCTCTTAAGAGGCTCGCGGGACCGAATAGACTAATATAAGTAAAAGGAAGATTTGATTGCTTGTTTATTTGCAATGAGTTCTACTTGCAAACAACCTATTTTTTAATATTCTTACAGTGACGGGAAGCTACATCATACGCGGGTGGCTATAATTTACACGGGTGAAGTCGCGAGAAATCAGCTAGTTACGTATAATAAATGAAATCATACCTTTCACTTCATACTAAAAAATACTACTTTGAGGGGAAATAAAAAACAAAGTTTACAATAATCAACATTGTTATAAATCACACACATATAAAACACCTAAGTTAACAACTTATAAAAAAAAATTCGTTGTAAAAATACTTCGAAAACAAATTAGTTACAATAAATTAAAGTAATATAACACATAAAACGCATAAGCTTTGCACATAAGTTTAAAATACTGTCATGATTATTTGATTTGTTCATATTTTTTCCTTAAGCTACATTTCTATTTCTACATCACATCGGGGGAGGAATAGTAGAATTCATTCAATCCCTGGTAAATTCTTTAAAACATTTTCCAAATACTTTATGGCACCGTCTAGTATTTGTACTTCACATTGCTTTAAAAGTTTCACATTTTTCCTGGAAACAAAAAACAATAAGATGGTGACTGAAATGCTGGAAAGCTAATCTCAAGTACAGTCGCTGGTCAACTGCTCAATAAGGAAACAAGAATATAATAGGGATATTGCCCGAGTAAAAAAAAACTATTTGTTTAATGGCGACTTTAAGCTCTAGTTAATGTTTATATATGAAAACGTGTCATGTCGCTTTATAGTAATGAAATTTTTATAAATATTAGTGGAAATGGGCGTTAATCCGTCTGTCAGATAATAGAGTCGTTTTTATTTCTTCAATTTAATGAGAAATGGTTAAGATAAGGCTTTAAAGTTGAGGAGCAGCGGTATGTTATATTACGTAAAAAAAGAGATAAAACATACTCAATTTGGTAGACCCTTTCAGAGAGCTTCCCTTTAATTTGACTACATCCGTAGCAAACTTCGCACGCCAGTTTCAAGGTGTCGCCATCTCTGAGGTCCCGGGTTCGATTGCATCGGGTAAATGTATAGAAAAGACTTTTCTATATCGTCTTGGGCGTGGGTGTTGTAATACCTACGTTGTCTCAGATACACCATTATTCGCGGGCTTTAGTTACTAATCTTGGAAACTTGGAATATTTTATTTAATAAATAAAATTCCTCCTAGAACCAGCAATAACTTTTGCAATTAAACTGTACTCACCTGTGTATATTTTCTGGTTCTTTATCCTCTGATTCTCTGTCGTATGCGGCTCTTATGAGTTGACAACGCGTCAGCAAATACTTATGAGCTCGCCTCTCAATAATCTCACCTATAGCTGTTGAACTAGTGGAGTCTGATGACACTAGATCACTTGGTAAACCGATACTCGACCACTTTGTAAGCTCCTCTGGAATCAAGTAACATATATTTGTAACCATATTTAGGAATTCTGAGTAGCTCGATCGTTGTTATTAAGCAATTTTCGCAAGTGTCGGTCACGGGATTTTTACGTTAATACCCGCCTATCCGCATTTGGCCAGTGCGTAGGTTATGGTCTAGCTTAACCATCCATTAGGAAGGCCTGCAGTAGGGATGTTAAAGGGCTATTTAGATGATATTTAGGAAACACAAAAATCTAGTGGAAAACGCAGTCAGCAGCTATTTATGATCTGTTGAATCCACAATAAAAGATGAGAAGTACTAATCCATCGAGTGTCTAAAAATGTAAGTATGAACCAACAAATGATGTTTTGAAAATATAACCCAGGAACGAAACACAACTCGGTGTTTGTGTACCAGAGAGAGTCACTTTAAAAATCAACAGAGGACTCATCTATTTTTCTACATTCCGAATTATAACTCTTATACCATAGAAATAAGGTATATTGTATACCATTTAGTAGGTAACGATTACAAATTAAAGCGTTGTGCATATCCAATTGCCACATTACGACTCATTTATTTTGTAAAAGTTTTTACTGTTACGTGGTCTATGGAGTAAAAAAATAACAACTGGTTACGTTTAACACCGCGTCAAATCAATTGACCTTTGTGAAATTATCTGTTTCATACTGCAGGTGTCCATTTATTTACAAAACATACATATTATTATTTGTATTGTTTCTGTCCGCGTTTCATTTGCATGGATGTTGAAATCAGGGCTTGCAGACAATTTGAAATATTTGCAAGTTTAAAAAAAAGGTCCTCTCGAACGGAAGCGCTTTGCGAGCGTTTATAATCACTATAATTATAACATGTGATCTAATTTTCTGATTTAAAGGCTACGACAATCGTTTTTAAGTTTGTAATGGCGATTTATGAAATTGTGTAACTTAAAAATTGCTAATAATGACTATCATGTGTCAAATAGTTGAAGCATGAAGTTTATGAATATTTTTCTAATGTCAAGTTCAAAGTAATAACTAACTAACTAGTAATAGTGTCAAGAAAAATTTGGAGATTAGACAGGGCGTTCAATGCCGAGTGATTGCTTTTCATTAAAAAGAGTAGTGTTAGAGTGGAAGTCATGGAAAGCCCATACAAAACAGAGAAAGCTATTGATAAGCGAGAATAGCCGAAATCTGTGTGAAACAACTTAACGAAGAACTTAAAGAAGTTTAAAGGAATATGTGGGATGAGAAAGTCAAGTCAAAATAATCTTTATTCAAATGACTTCTTAAAAGTACTTTTGAATCGTCCAACATTTTTTTCCCTACCACTCGTTCAGGACGTCTTTTGGCTGATAAAAAGAACGAGCAAGAAACTCACCAGCTCTAATAAGAGTAATGACATTTACAAAAACCATGTCATTACCAGATGAATACATTATAAACAGGAGAGAGAAAAAAAAACTATGGTCTTATAATGATAACATAATCATTTAATAATAATGGAAACAAGATAATGAGCTTAGAAGTAATCACCTATCCAGTTGCTGGATCATCTCAAGTCCAAGCGTTCTTATCTGTTATATAATCGGATACCTTATAATAAGCTTTTTAAATAAGTATTTTTTTAATAGTAGATTAAGATTTAGTAGAAAAGGTAAACGACGCTGAAGTTACATTCAGTTGGAGATGAAAAATTTCACTACGTCTTGCAAAGTATGGTACCTGACTTTCGAGCGATTGAATCAGTCAACAATTTTCCACCAACTGGAGGAAAAAGATGGAAAGGCCATTCAAAATAAGAGTAGATTTGGAAACATAAATTATTTGGTTGAAAAGTACTTCTGCAATTTGTAGTAAAAACATTAATAAGCCTCAAAACGAACTAGACTCTCATTTAAGGTCAATGGTATTCTTGAATTTTCAAAGAACTTCAAAAATTCATATAGGGAAAATCGATAAATAAGTAATTTTATAGCTGAGGGGATTATGTAGAGCTTTTACAGTAATCATAATGATTTTGCAAGAATTCAATTTAAAGGAACGTTTTTAACGCGCATTCAGCCATCTTTTGTTCCTATCTATCTCAGCGCAATGAGACAATAGGGACAATCTTTTGGCTATACACCCCCTTTAAAAAAAATAAATAAAAAAGTCTGCTCTCACCTTGGTTCATGTTGAATATCCTTATAAAAGCCAGTAGTTCAGGACTAACAGGATTCTCTCCCTGGTATAGACTGTAGTGGGTGACACCAGCTAAACCCAGTTTGTTGAGGACAGACAGCTTAGTATCCCGCAAGGGATCACCTGAACTGATGCCGAGGGTGAGTGACAGACTGTCATATTTGTTGTTGCAGTAAACAAACCTGTAAAGAATATTTGCTTGCTGTTACTTTTTTTTACCCAAAAAAAAATTTAGTTGATTAATTTTGAATTCACAATTCTATACTGAAAAATGCTTAAAAAATCTTTTTCCCTGGCACTCCGAGATTGTACTCAACCCCACGATCTTTCGCAATCCGGGAGACTCTAACCACTGAGCTACCCAGTACCTAATATGACTGACTGTGGTTACTGTCATAATAATGGGCATGGGAAAATCAACCTTATTGTCTCGTAACGTTAAAATGAATCGACTCATTGAAAAAGGGACTCTAAAACTTGTTGTTGATAAAAGTATTTAAAGAAGGGTCCCATTGTCAACAATAATAAATGGTATCATCATAGATGTATGCATAAGATGTTATTTCTCTTCATTGTTGAATCAATGAGGTGATATAATGATGTACTACTGGATAATAGATTACATCACATCTGTTATGAACGAGGAATCAACATTATCGCTGTGTAATGAACTGGTGATGTATCTATCGTCAAGTGTTACGAGACGCCACTGTATGGCCTTAATTGGATCTTTAGCAATCGTAAATATATATTTACAGCACACTTTTTATTGGTGCGGCAAAAAGAATTAATATGCGATTTATGTAACACAATACTAACGATGTTAGTTTGTCATTTATTTCAAGTCAAGAGATTTTTATGTAACTTATAATGATGCAGATATAATAATAACAGAGGTTTCAAAGATACCCTTGTCATTTTGACAATGGTTGGTATATTTTTGATTGCTGCTATAAGAAATATACCAGCCATTCTCCTTATGATTGTCGTTCTATAACTTACCCATTGTGTAGGAATAAATCGGCGTTTGAGCGGGCACCGTAAAATATGAAGATCTGTTCGCCTTCTCTGAAGTCGCGTAGAGCGTAACATTCACCTCTTCCTAATTTTTTATTAAAATCTGTGGTAATCTGAAAGTTTATATCCCTTTTTAAGAGTATTTATAAGTTTTTTTTTCTAAAATCACTAGAAAAAAGATATGAAAATGAACAAACAATATAAGACTAAAAATTAGGTATGCCAATTGACCGTTTGAATATTAAGTGTAACATCATGTTATTTGCTGGTAACGCAATCTATCGCAGCGGTCATGATGGCCAAAAGTAAAAACATTGCGAGCTTTGCCATCTGTCATACTATGTTACACATTTATTAATCTAAATTTTCTTAATGAATATATTTTTATATCAAACCAACATCACATTACTTTGTTTTTTTTTTATCCGGGATCACTCAGGCGTAATAATATTAAGCGTAAGGCCTAAGATGGGACGAGTTTTTTGATTGATTACTTTGCTATTATTAATTATTTTCTAAATACAATAACTAAAAATAAAGTTTATGTTTGCTTTTATCACTAAGGTACTTTAGTCGTGCTGTATTCAGGTGCAATCGAATTAATATTAAAATTCAGTCGCGATTATGAGTGACGACGGAGATTAATTACCGAGTTATAAAAACATAGGCATTGCAAAGTGTCAAAGTTTTTATTTTATATTGTGAGTGATAAACACGAACCCGGCTCTCAGAATAATACTCATTTCGATCTAAAAATCATACTTCATTTATTACTCACGATACAAGAATAATTGTATGTTTACTATTATTAAATGAAATCTTCAAAGGCGCTGAAATTTCTTGTTTTACAATAAAATTGAAACTAAATATGAGCTAAACAAATTCTGACATAACCAAAATACAACACATTTTTTCAATAAAATTTAGTTACCTCATTTTATTTGAATGATAAAAAATAATTTTACAACTCTCTATTCACCCAATTCTTAGTATCGCAGTGGTTTTGTAATATTCAATAATAGAAAGTTGTTGATTTTAATGTTTTGTAAAGTTTACGACTGAAGGTGTCACTGAAATCGTGCACATAGCCAATAGCTAAGAATGTTTTCTTTTACTAAGGGGAAATGCACCTTCTGCCTCAAATTAGGACTCTCTAGCAATTAGGACCAATATGGTAATTCTGAAAATGTTAGCGTAATTAAGGAGTGTCAAAAGCGCTTCGTCTACGACCCTTTATGACAGAGTTCTTGATCACAAGAGCGTCATTATAATGTAACAATGTAGTACATATTAGCAGGATGTGCTTGTATTTCATTTCTTCAACTCTATCTATCTATAACGTCAAGCCTTTTCCCGGTGGGGTAGGCAGAGATCATCTACTTCCATTTTGACAAACCTCTCTCGCTTATTCCACACGCATCTAACTTTTCATACAAGAACGACGGTATTGTATTTTACTGGCTTGAATTGTGTAATTGTTTATTGACTCCAAATAAAGCAAAATAAAATATCTAAATTACCTTTCCGTGCTCGTGGTTGCACATGTCCCAAAGCGGGATGAAGGCTGTGACGTCAGAGTTTCCCAGTTGTATGTTGTTCTGTCGCGTCATTACCGTAGACACTGCCCATCTGGGAACAAGAACTATAAGTTTATACTCGTACATTGGTATATTTTCTTTTGTTGAAATCAGCGATCGCAACTCTATTGGCTGTTCTATTAAAACTAGCTGTTTTGTCGCGACTTTGCCCATGTAAATTGTAGTCTATGTCACCCGCGAATGATATAGCTTCCCGTAGGAATGGATACACAAACTATACCGTAGGTGAAAGAATTTTTAAAATTAGTCCTGTAGTTTCAGAACCTATTCAATACAAGCAAACAATTAAATATTTTTTTGTATTGAATTTCATCTGTACATAATATGCAAGGTTGAATTTCATCGATATATAATATATAAAACTCGCTTCCCGCTGTCTGTATGCTGAGATCTTTTACACAACAGATTTTAATGATTTTCGTCAACATAGAGAGTGATTCAAGAGGAAGGTTTATAATGTATAATACAGGGCGAAGTCGCTGGCAGAACTAGTATAATTATCAAATGCTATTTCGAAGAAAAATGTTTACTTTGGCTACTAAATTTTCAACGTGTGGAAGTGAAACGAACAATCACTGGACGAAAAAATATTCTTTTAACACGCGGTTCTTTTGTTAAATTAGTGTCTTCATGTGTATGTTTTTTTTTTATTATTTCCTTTCAGGAAAATGACAGAATTAGTATTAATGCGCACGCAACACCAGAATGTTTAGCCGGCCGTTCACACCAGGAATTCTTAAATCTGTGGTTAATGTTTAATGTTTGTTTTGAGGGGTACTGTACCTTAATAGATCCTTTTTAGGATTTCGAATTCACTGGAACTTGGCACGATTATGACCCAAAGAAGCATACAAATTTAATATCTGAAGGTTTCTTTTAGGGGTATCGATTACACAAAGATCTAAGTGTGTTAATATTTTTGTGGAATTCGTAATACGCAAGTTCGACTGGCGATTTTTTCATATTATTTAGGCATTGATACAAAATCTTCACAGCCTTTTGTTAGAGTAGTAGATATTTAAATGTATTTAACATTTACAAATATCTCAGCAGATATGAAGTTAAATATCATACAGAAGTTAGTTTTCTAAAAATCGTTTACAAACGTCAGTACCTATATAAGGAAATATATGTTAGAAAGTTTTAAGAAAACTTTCAAATACAACCATTAAGAGTTACTTGTATGATTTAATAAATTTTTATTATATATGGCAATCAAACATTATCAATTATAGACACAGATTAAACATTTAAAAATGTTTTTTTAAAGACAATTAAAATCGATACAAGGATTTATATAAAATTTATAGGACCACAACAGCACAGAGCAATATTTGCACAAACCTTTTGATACAGACAGACAATATAAAACAGTATAATAAATACACTTGTTAGTGTTTGGTAACCGATAGCTTCTTTTGTAACTGTTAATAAAAAATAACTATTATTGGTAAATACTGTAATAAATATGGTATTCGAAAGTGATATTATTTTAACATTACACGAATCCAATATCAACATAAGAGAGTTGCGTTATTCATATTTCAAAAAAAGTTCCTATTGATATAACAAGAGAAAACTTGCTCAACTAAATTTTTAAAAGGTATAACTAAACGTGCATTCAAATATCTAAATTATGTATAATTATTGATGTTCTAGAATAATAAGATAATTACGTTCAAATTAAGAAATATTGTGATATACATATAGGTACCCTGTGACTCTTTTGCAAAAATCTAAACGGCAATAATCTTGAACACATATCAGGTATTTTTTTTTCTCATTGTGTATCACTGTATACAGTACTCCAAAATAAATACACATCATTTTTTATTTGGTAGTGTTTAATATAGGTACTATTACCGATAATCACACTTTTATGTTTATTATATTGCTTAAAGAAATTATAATATTGCTTAAACAAATATTTTATATTGAATAGCTCGGTGACGTAGTGGTTAAGCGCCGCGGCCCGCGATCGTAGTCGTTAAGCAACTTTCGCAAGGGTCGGTCACGGGATGGGTGACCAAAAAAAATATTATCTCCAGCTACTCCGTGCTTGGGAAGGCACGCTAAGCCGTTGGTCGTGGCTGCATTTGCAGTCGTTAATACCCTCCAATCCGCATTGGGCCAGTGTGGAGGGTCATGGCCCATCCTCCTTAACCATCCATAAGGAAGGCCTGAGCCCCTGCAGTGGAGACGTAAAAGGGCTGGTTATGATGATGATGATGAAATATTTTATGCTCGTTGTCACGTGACCACAAGCCGCGTGACGTCACGACCTTCTTACTTACAACAGAACTCGGAGAATTCAACCTTATGAACACATAGAACGATATTCGTTTCAGTTTGCCGTGACGTCATACCGACGCCATGATAGAAATGGCGTATTCGCTGGAAATTTTGAAAATTAAGTTTATTTTGAACTTTAATTAATTATATGAACGATATTTTTTTTAGATATAATTCATGTATATCTTAAAAAAAAATATAAAAAAATTGTCTACTTTACTTTTTTTCATTGTCGAATTTCTTTTGAAAAGATATAAATTATTTGTAGGTACCAACACAAACTAACGCATGGTAAAAAGCTTGAGAAAACTAAAACAATTAGAAATTTCACATTAAAGTAACTATTTTGGGAATTCTGTAGTTACGTTTTAATTTTAAAATTGTATTATCGCATCTGCGATCTAAAGTAGAGAATGAAATGAAAAGATTCATTATCGAAAAAACCAGTGTTTCCCAATCTATTAATCCCTAGAAATTTAAAAACAAGTTCGAAGTCTACATATATAAAATCGATTCACTAAAACTTAAAAACAGGTGGTTATTATATTGAAATTAATAAGGCTGATGTGACAACTCGAACTAACCTACTCCGGCTTATTATAAAACGTGAACTAACTGCAGTATTAGGTTTAAACTATTATCCGACCAAAATAAGTCAATACGTTCCAATTTGACGTTTTCTTTTCTGTCATTGTAAATTAGCTTTAGTTGACCAATTCATTCGCACATTCGCTGTGCTAAATAAGTGTAGCGATTACGAGATTTTTTATATAACTACCGGACCCCTGGGGTCCACGAGTCATAGCTTGAGAAACACTGAAATATACAACACTCCAGTTCTAACAGATTATTTACCATCGTCTAATTACCACAGTGTTCTTAGCTTTTTGCCGGCATCACCTATTGTAGTCTTGGCGACATCTTGCCGTATTACGTATTGAGCATACTTTCGATTTTACCCAATTACGCCATAGTTAAGTAGAAGTGAGAATTTATTGTTAACAAGTACACGTTTACGAGTTTTTTTATGTAAAATTTTACTTTAAAGAAACATAACAAAAGTAAAAACATCCTTTATCAAGAAAAAATATTTAATCAGCATCAAGTAAAATAGAAGACATCGAAGGACTTACACATTAAGCATATCTAGATAGCGCAAGGGACCGCAGTATAAGCAGCCATTCTTTACTTAAAAAAAATGTTTTTTTTTCTTTTTGAAAAGGAAAACGCTTTCCGCTTATCTTGACATTTCTCTAAGCACTTTTGGAGCCCACTTTTAACCCAATACAGACTTCAACTACCTATTCAACTTAATATAAGAAATGCCGCTGAAGTCTGGGCTCCCGCGGCGTTAACATACTCTTTTTTATCAGATGTTTTTAAAACAATTCCCACAGTAACCTCTATTGCTCTTGCTAAATTAACCCTACTCGATCTTAAGTTAAAAGAAGTTGCAGATAACTAACGACATCACTTAAACATATACATTGCTCACAACTGTTTCACCCTGCTGAAAGAATAACGATTATAATAGAAAATACAACCACGGCAGAAGACATTAATAATATAACTAATACGACTACTAATACATTTTTTACCGATGGCAGTAAACAAGCCATTGAGTGGGTTCAGCCTTTGTTGCCATCGCACCAAATTGTAAAACTATCACAAAGAAATTGAGATTAAACCACACGTGCACTGTCTCTCAGGCAGAGGCATTAACAATTGAAAAAGCATGCGAATGGATCGAAAACTATGATATCAAAACAGTGTCATCTTTCCGGACTCACTCTTTGCTCTCAAGGGGTTAGAAAACAGATAATCCAATTATTCTCAAATATCGTCCGCACATAAATCAATACACAGCATACAAAAAATAAGAACCATTAGATTATCATGAATAAAAGCTCATATTGGAGTCATTGGCAACGAACTAGATGACCAAGCAGCAAAACTAGTTACTACATTGAAAATAGCGCTAGAATTCGCCTACTTCCCGGTATCTTACCATAAAATAATGACCTTATTAGAAACTGAAATAGAAATCAATAGTAGATATATAAACAGTAATACAGGACAACATTCTAAACAACTCATGCCCAATATAGACTCGTTGAACCAAACCTTATAAAGAGTACTTCCTCACTTTGCCACAACTCAACTCTTTACTAACGGCTAACCCGGAGTATTTACACCGCTTTAAAATAAAAACTACCGACAAATGCCCATGTTTTAACACACCACTATTCAAACACTCAATCATTTAATTTTAAATTGCCCAAAATTCAATGATACCCGTTTTAGATATTTACAATCTTTTAGTTACACCTATAATCACAATCATAATTTAAACCCGAATGATCTCCAAACAGTAATAAATAAAGAAACTACCACTACAGCATACATAAAATACATTCACCATATAATAATCAACGGGAATTTAATAGAAACAAAAAAATACGGACTTCAGCCCTACCTAGTGGTTAAAAGCATAGCAATTTGCTAGCCTGCTATTTCGCTATTTCGTCTACAAGTAGTAGTTATTAAAACAATGGTTAAAAACGAAAGCCTATAAGTCTAAGTGAAAGTTAAAGTAACATGTGATAACATAATAAAAATAATATTTTAACAGGTAAATACAGCGTCTATTGGTAACTTTAAAGCGAAAGCTAATATTTGCTTCAATGGAAACACACAACGATTTTATCACGAATTTAAAACAGAAAGCAAATTCGATAG